GCAACGTATACCAATCTCATCTTAGGAATTTGCATTTTTTGCTCCCATAGTTATTTGTGTCGACCAAAGACCCCTTGCTAACTTTGTAAAGTTGTGGTTGGCTGGTATGCCATCTTCTTTTAATGCTGCCGCAAAGATTCGATGGCATCGTCACGACACTGGGGAGAACCAGAACCAGAAAAACTTACACTATCATTTGTGAAGGGCAAACTTCTGGATCATAAAGTGAAGAACTGAGGAAGCTTAGTCAAGCACAAAGAGGGAGCAACGATTCATTGACATTCCACATGCAGCAGAGGCAGTTCTCATTTCGATGGAACGATACTCAAATGTTACCATTGCAAGAAATCAGGGCACAAGAAGTGCAGACAACTGAAGCAAGCCAACAATGTTCAGCCAGAACAAAAGGACCACGTCGCGATCATGGTATCGACTTCAACTGAGGAGGGTGTCAGGAGGGTCCGGGAATGTATTTTTCAGCATTGATGAGATCATGGTGAAAAATAGAGCTAAGGTAGTGATTATAGCTAAAAGGTGCGGTAATTTGTATGAGGTTGAGGTTGAAATACAAGTACATAGTGACCAGGTCGGCAACTCTTTCCAAATCTGATAACAGTAAATTGTGGGCGGGAGATTCTCGCATCTTGGAATGAACAATCTTTGTCAAATAAATAAAAACAGTTTGGTTGTTGGTATGGACAAAATTATTACATGGAACAATGGTGTTTGTGGAATATGTGCAAAACGTAAAAGCACTAGGTTGCCATTCCATCGAAATTCGACTTTGTCTGCAAAGAGACCATTTGACATTGTACCTACATTCGTTCGTGAACCAATGACGCCAGCTGCTCGCATTCACTCCAAAATCAATGCGCGAATTTTCGATGAAGATAATTAGTATGCGAATCAAAAAAATTGCAACACCCTGTATATTGTAATGTCGATTTTTTGCATTATTTTTCCTAATTACACTGATCTATCATAACCTACATTTTTTTTAGATTTTAGGCATGAGCCAAAAATGAAAACCTTATTTTTTACGGTTTTTAGATGGTAGACCATGAATAAAATGCTTGGAGATTTTGTATTTTTTTATTGTATTCATGGCAGCCGATACGAATCAATAAAAATGGCTGACTCTAAGAAACATGTCATTTCAAAATTTTGAAAAAAAAGATATAATATAATATATAATAACCTAAAAAATATAGGTTTTGATACATCAATGTAATCAGGAAAACGAATGCAAATAATTGGGGTTAAGATATACATGGTGATGCATTTACCAACATTGGATGAAATCTCAGAAACCATGGTGCGAATTTTGTGACTAGGCCACTGGATTCTACGTAAAGATATCTAAAAGAAACAGTGTTTACCTGTTTTCTATCTTGTATAAGGAGTAAGATATGATAACATCCCAAAAAGCCGAACTTTTCATTTTCACCCTGTATCTCAGGAACAAACGTAGATAGATTGATTTTGTTTGTGGTATAAAGAGTTTCACAAAAGTGGTACAGGGATGCGAAAACTGCAAATGAACTGCACAGAATGTTTCTTCATTCAATAAATTTTAAGATACCATATATTTTAAAAACTCAATAACCTAGAATCGAATGAATTGAGGTACATTATGCTTCTTACAAATGTTGCTTAAAATTGGGAGAATTGAAAGATCGAATGATACAGGGTGCTTTTTTGGGAGCTTTAGTTAAACGTTTCTGGGAAAGTAAAATAGGTAGGTTTTTGAAAATTTGTACTTAGGAGTTACTCTGAAGACCGAATCGATGTAAAATATTTTCAAAATGGCCACACTTCCGGAAACACCGGAAGTAGATAGTAACTTCGTTATATTAAATGACAACCCCTATTTTTTATTGCATTTTTGGATTCTACGTAAAATTTCAGTTCTTTTGATACCCACATGTCCATATCTGCCATTTATGGTTTTTAAGTTGTTTTGACTTTATGAAAAAAAATGGCGAATGCAGATGGTACCTTGATAATTGATTACTTGAAAACGGTTATAGTCCTGGCAACCCATTTTTATCAGTGCATAGAGAATGAATAGGGTTTTCTTTTAGTGTACTTAAAAAAAGTTAAGTTGCATCATAGAGTAAATAATACTCTATGGTTGCATACAACCGCACCTATGGAGATTCAAATTTAAGAAACTTCAAAGTCCAAAAACTCAGTTTTTTTAAATGGAATGACCATGTTCTTACTATTGCATGAGATAGAGAATCGAAATTGGAATATTTTGATATTACATGTTCCTATAGCTATCTTTAACATTTTCTGATTTATTCCCATTTCATTGAATTGATGCCATTTTTTTTCGCATTTTCATTTTAGTAGTTGGCCATGATTTTATAACAATCGAATTTTAAACAAATCAAGAAAAGGATATTTTAATATCATCGATTCTAGTCTAAATAAGTCATTTATTAAGGATATAGGACGGAACATTTTTGAGAAATCTAGACAGAGTCATTCAACTGAATTTCTTAAACAACGTATAAGTCTGAAAATTCAGAGAGATAATGGGATATCTGTTCCAGCAACAATTCCATACAAAAAATGTTTCAACTAAGTTTTTTATATTTTACATTGAATTTATTTTGTTAATCTTGCATTTGCAATTCAATTCACTTTGTTAAATATTCTCTTGTAGAGCTTTGTATCACTTCTGCTTCAACGGTTTGTAGTGCATTTGGAGATACAAACAACATTTCCAAAATTCATACAATTTCGTTGCAGTGTTCGAATGAATGTACGGCAAGCATGTGCCGCGATTCTGTCCATTTCACCATAAATAACAATTAAATTCCAAAATAGGTGAAACCACTGTGAGTCATTTTTCGATTCTTGAAAAACTTATGTTAACCTATAACAGTAGGCACAGATCTACACATACAACAGATTGCTAACCTTATGCATTTTATGGGAAACACATTTAGGTATACTAAAAAGCGCCCTCTATTGAGCAGCAGATAATGCACGCTTAGTGAAGTGACAGACGGAAAACGTCAAACGTCAAGTAACGGAAAAACAGTTTTTAGTTTGAAGACATTATTTTTGCACAATCGCTCGATGGGGCGAAATATAGACTTGGATACCTGACCATTAAGTTGCACGGACTGCAGTTAAGTAAATATGCCATTATTACACATATCAGCGGTGTGGTTCTCTTGGGTCAATGAGAATGAGTAGATGAGGTTATTGCATGCAAGCAAAAATGTTACTATAGGTACTTACCTACCTCAAAGATTATTACAGTAGGTAAGCAACCGCATAAGTAGTCCGAAACAAATCCCAAAATAAATTCACTATTAACGGATGAATTACTGCCGATTGCAAATAGAAAATGTCTTCAAACTATAAACGGTTTTTCCGCTACTTGACGTTTGGCGTTTTCCGTCTGTCACTTCACTAAGCGTGCATTATCTGTTGCTCAATAGAGGGCGCTTTTAAGTATACCTAAATGTGTTTCCCATAAAATGCATAAGGTTAGCAATCTGTTGTATGTGTAGATCTGTGCAGTAGGTAACGGATTAGTGTCACTAGAATTGTTTAAAATTCAATTGTTATAAAATCATGGCCGACTACTAAAAAGAAAATTCGAAAAAAATAGTGTCAATTCAATAAAATGGGAATAAGTCAGAAACTGTTAAAGATAGCTATAGGAACATGTATTGTCAAAATATGCCCATTTCGATTCTTTATCTCATGCAATATTAAGAAAATGGTGATTCCATTTAAAAAAACTGAGTTTTTAGTCTTTGAAGTTTCATAAATTTGGATCTCCATAGGGGCGGTCTTACGCAACTTAACTTTTTTTTAAGTACTAAAAGAAAGCTGTATTCATTCTATATGATAGGTTGCCATGCTCAAGTAATCAATTATCAAGGTACCATGTGCATCCGCCATTTTTTTTCTTAAAGTCAAAATAACTTAAAAACCATAAATGGCAGATATAAGAACTGAAATTTCACATAGAATCCAAAAACCCAATAAAAAATTGGGGTTGCTATTTAAAATAACGAAGTTACTATCTACTTCCGGTGTTTCCGGAAGGGCGGCCATTTTGAAAATATTTTACATCGATTCAGCCTTGAGCGTAACTCCTAAGTACAAATTTTCAAAAACCTACCTATTTTACTTTCCCAGAAACGTTTAACTAAAGCTTCCAAAAAACACCCTGTACACATTCCATTTCAAAAAATACAATATTGGTGTCCCACGCCTTTATGACCATCCCTGTATAATCAATCACAAAGGGTGCTTCCACCTTCACAATCTATAATTAACTTGATGGTATAACTTTTTATTTAAGATTATTTTTATTACATCTATCCCTGATCTTTTGGTCCTTGTGCCTATTTCGGAACGCGAAATTCAGATACCAACTCACTTTTATTCCATAGAAAAAATGTCCCTTCAAATAGTATTACGAAATTAATTCGTAGTTCTAGGATTCCAAAGTTAGTACTATTCGAAGTTTAAGCAAAACTGATTTATTTATCAAAAAAACTCCATACACTGAATAATAAATTCAAGCAAAATTAATCCCATGGCAGTGAACTACACCGGCTATATTAGTCATGCAGACTATTGATAGGTAAAATGTTCAATACTAAAAACAATAATAGCGACTACATTTCGATCAACTTGCAAAAACAGATTTAAGTATGCAAAATTTATGTGGGGTTAGTGCAATGCCCCATATGTGAACAACAACTCCCACTTGCACTCGAAAGTTGAATAACTATAAAAGGTAAGTCTTCATAAGCCATAACTTGACAGCAAATTTTTCAGGTCATTTCGAAGTGACATATTGTGGGATGCACAAGATAAAGCATGTAATATTTTCTCTGGGGTCACTAACGTTTTTCAAAATTTTAAATGTGACCACGGCTTACTTATATGGTAATTAATCCCAGAATTCTCTCAAATGGTTAATAAAAAAAATTCATGCAAGTACAGTAAACAAAACTTACCAAAGTGACGATATCGCCTGGTGAGTTAGCTGCAATTTCTTTTAGTCTGGCGTACAGCACATCGATGAGATACTGGTATCGAGCGTTAAACTCGTCCAACTCCTTGGCGACGACGTCCGCGCCGCTAGGGGCGGCAGATCGCGACGCTCGGAACGCGGCGTTGACGTCGAGGGACGGCTGTGCTTCAAGCAGTGCGTCTCGAAAACGTTGAAGGCCCTTGCTCCATATCTAATGTTAGGGTTAGAAGGTTAGGGGTCAATTGTTAGTCAGTAAGTGCTGTGATCAGTTAAAATTACATAAAGCTAGTGTGACAAACAAAATTTTTTGTAACAGACAGTGCCGACAAAAAATTTTTAATAATGTGTAAGGATTATCTTTGTTGCGTTACAGACGATTTTATATTTCGTCTGTATGTCATAAAAAATTCTGAACCAAATTTACATTTCCTATTTTAATTATTGATGCTACCGAGAACTTTACAAAAAATGTAAACATTACTTTCCTAATTAAAAAAACCACTAAAGAATCAGTTTTTTGAAAAATCAAATTCAAAGTAAAAAAATATTCATAATGATTTAAGGATAGTGGTGAATATTGCCAAACATCTTATTCTACAGACGAGGTAAGTTAAACTACCAAATGAAGCATATTTTTCCTAACACACTTTTTTCTCAGGATCACAATGGTAAAATAAAAAATCAATATAAAAATTGAGTACAAAGGGCAAATAGCTTATAAAAACTATAAATAAAAGAATAAAACTAACACATTGCTTCATTTAAAAAGTGAGGTCCTAATTTGCCTCACCCTACATGAAAGGAAAAAATATTTTTTTATTTTCAGATTTTTTATAGAAAGCAACATGGTTGTTGCAATTGTTTTTATTTTATAAGTCATTCTCCCTTTGTTACAAAGTAAACCACTTTAATTAAAGATAAACAATTAAGTAATTTGTAAAAAAGAAGTTTCAAATTTGGTAATCCAAACAAAAGATCAAAGTCAGCTGAAAATGTAATCTTTTACTTTTGGAAAATATAAAAATAGAAATCAACGAATTTGTCAAAAATAAAGTATTGGTAGAGACTAAAGTTATTTAGAATGCAACAAAGCATTTAATCCCAATTTTATCACCTGAGAAGAATAAAATAAAAAAGCACAAACAATAAAAAACTATTGACTGAACAAAAACAACATTTTTTAATCTTATTCAAAGCTAAAATGATCTTTTAGTATTTTTTTAATTACAAGCAAAAAATGAGTGTTGCTTGATCTTACTTTCAAGTAGGTTAGAAAACATTACAAAGTAAAAAGGACAATTATCTTGCTAGATTTTTTCAATTAAGGTAATTAATGTTAGTTTTTTGTTTAATCTATTTTATAGTACATCTGAAATTATTTCTTAAGGGAATGCAAGTCATACCATTTTGAAAAAATGTTTATAATAATAAAAAATGTAAATTTGGCGTAGAATGGCAAGCAATATGAAATGTGAATTACATACTAAAATACAGGCACTACGTAGAACAACAGAATGTCATGATACAAGAGACAAAAGAACCCAATCCCATAGCAGACATATGGAAAATACCACAAAACACTATTTTAACATGTAATGTTTGATAATACTTTTATATGATCTTTTTGTATGTGGATAATACAACATTATTACCAATGTCCACTGCAGGCGACCATAGTGCTTAAAACCATCAACAAAGAAATAGTGCCATTTGAAATAATCAAGACAGCAAAAATTCGCTTTTTTGTGTTACAATTTGACCTTAAGAAATTTCGCACACTATGTAGGAGATTTCAGTGCATCCCATACGTTGCCTCAATAAGAATTGAAAACTATGACACTTTACAGATGTCTATTGGTACAGGAACTGAATTTTAATCGAAACAGTTAAATTCCAAAGATGATTTTAAATTATCTTGATATCCGTAGACAGTGCATTAGGATTATTAAATTTCTTCTGAATGATAAAAGTCAAAATCGTGTTTCATACAACAAACTATGGTATATACAGATTTTAAAATGATTGAACATAACAACTGTGCAACGTCACCGTTAAATCTGTGAATCGTTATTAATATTTCAAGTAGGAGAAAAATAAAATTATTTGAAAATAGAGAAGCGATGTGATCAATCAAAATCAACAGATTCCACCACCAACAAGACTGGTTACCACAATAGAAATTTATATGTACAAAAGGATTTTAAATTCCATTCAGAAAAACTCATTCGCAACATTCGTCTGTAAACTAACCTAATACTTAATGACCCTAACTTCCTAACCAAACTTTCATAAACTACTCGTTTACCTTTCCCTCTCGGATGTATCGGCCGCCATTAATATTCACTTGTTCAATGACAGGAGCACGTTCTGTTACGGTATTCAGAAGATTCTGCAAAGTATAACATTAGTAACAGCACATTAGAACTTTAAAAGCTGTTTACCCTGGTCACTTCCAAATGTTCTTTCGCGCGATCTTTTATGGGCTGCAACGTTTCGAGCTTACCATACGTATCTTCGAGCCAATTATCCTCGACTTCCTTCGACTTTTTGTAATTCTTCAACAAACCGTACGCCTGCTCGCATCCACGTAAACGATCCGCCAACTGTCCGCAAACGTTACTCCACCTCGTATTTAACTTCTGAATGTCCTTTTCTAGTCTTTCAACGTCAGAGTGAGGGGCGCGCTGATTGGGTCTCGACTTTTCGGTTAAGCGCTTCGTGTTATCGAAATCATCGTTTAATTGATCCATTACAATTTGCTGTTGGCTGATCGCCGATTGTAATTTAAGCAAATCGTCATGGACAGCCTCCAAAGCCTTTTCAGTCGAAGGCAACTCGTCAAACAGTGCCAGTTTATTTTCGAATTCCGATATGACTTGGGTAGCGTCATCGACACCGTTAAGAACTATCTCGCAACATTTCAATCTTTCGATATACAAATTGCTGGTATTCCATATGTAATTCCACTTATTTAGGACCTTTTCCAGATCTTTCTTATGCTGCGGCGTTTTCAGTGTAATACTTCTAAAGGTGTCTTTTACTTGCTCTATTTCTGGTTCTAAATTTTGAAGACGAGATTCGTACTCTTTGTGTTCTAATACGAGGTGTTGTAACGTGTCAATATCTCGAGGTAAAGGTGAGAGTACACGTTGATTAATTATTCGTTCGGCTTCATCTAAAGATTGCTGAAGCGACGAAATTTGGTTGTTGAATATTCTGGTTTGATTTTTACTCTCTTCTACAAAAAAAGATCAATTTTAATTTTAGTTTTAAAGCTTTACATTAGGTACTTTTCTGTACTCTTTCGACTTTAAACATTCAGAGCGGGATAATGAGAAAGACTAGAGAAAAACATAAAATTGCGCAAATTTTGTCCCTTCAATGACGAGTACATAACCACCACATAATAAGGGTGCAAATGTTTAAAGAGAAAGTACAGGTGACGTTTTTTGCGCAAGAAAAAAGGCGGAGGTGGCGGTGCTGACCAGGTCCGGAACGGTGGGACGCTCTGAACGCGACTGCTACGACCCCCTGCTCTCTTTCTACCACAGCGCAAAAGCGAATTTGCGTTTAGGACGCGTGGAAATTGCGAGTCTAACGGCCAGTTGCATAAAAAAAATAATCCAGGATTATTGTTTAATCCTGTATTAAGACATTTGATTGGCTTTATATTGCAGTAGGCAGCCAATCAAATGTCAAAATTCTTGTTTAAACTCAGATTTGACAAATAATGTAGGATTTTGATTATAATTCGCTTTCCTGCAACCGGCCGTAAGCCACTTTTCTGGATCTCTAGATTTAAAAATCGCAAAGAAGCAGTGTAGTAGATCTCCATCCACGTCCCCAGTTTTGGTGACCACTGTGTGTATGAACGGCCAGGTCCGGTATAAAGTGGCGCTTCGTTATGAAAGTGTTGTACCGCCGCTTGATCCCGACCATGAAATTAACAATAGCTAAATAATTGAGTTGCAGAAAACCCGTCCGATTGAGCTGGGCCTTACTTAAAAAGAAGCTCTCTTAACTTGAATTTTGACACTGGTCCCGTATTTTTTCAATTTGTTTAAACGTATCGAAGATGTAAGCGGATAGACAGGAAATTCCGGTTTGGCCCTACCCGAAATGAAATTTTGTGTAAGTATCTTTCATCATTTGCCTTTGGTCTTTTGCCGAAATTTTGTAACCGAACACCCACATTGCTGCGGAGTGCGCTACGTTTGTCCGCTTCCATGGTTTACTTATTATACTTGGTAAATTTATTTAGTTTTATTTTAAACTAAAGTGAATTTATGATTCCGCTAACGCTTATTTCATTTTAAAGCGCACTGATTGTGCGCGAACTACCCCACGTTCGTCCCAGTAGGAATGATGAACTTACATTTCCCGTGCTATCAACAGACGCGTCAAAACTAAAAAATTGAATTGGCTACGTCACGCCTCGTCAAGGTACCGCGAGGTGCTAATAATGCAAATGCGTCGATTCCGTTTGGGACGCACTTGAAGTGGTCATAACGTGAATGTGAAAGGGATGTGAGCATGAAAAAAACAAGAATTCGCACTGCAAAATTCAAGCAGTGTACTACGTGGTGTTTCTAAGAACCCTGCAACGGGGGCATACGATGCACTGGCACTTTTATCGAAAAAATTGCTTGTGTGGTAAGTAACTATACTGACACTAGCGCCATTAGAGATGAGGCTCTGAGAAGCAGTCAAAAAATGTTTGCAGGGGCCGTAGTTATGCCAATTTGGTGTTCAATTAAAAATGAAAAAAAAAATCAAAGTGAAAATAGTAAACGAAATTTTACCTTCGGCACGTGCTCTCTTTTCAAATTCATCAAACAACCGATTTACTTCTTCCATTTCTCTTCGCAACCTTCTCAATTGAGGATCGGATGGATCTCCTTCAGCCATGAGCTTGTCTGCATCTTCATTTAATGCTCTCCTAATCGCATTTCTTTGCTCAGCCCCAATAGCGATAAACTGAAATGGCCAAAATGTAAATCCCTGCATAATGAAGATTATATTACCTGTGGTAAATCCCAGCCTTTAACGACCTTAATTGTTGCAAATATCATGTTTTGTCTCATTCTCAGCTGTTTCTTTTGCCACAAGGCTATCGAGCGATCGTATTGTCTTCGCAGGCGTTCGGCTGCCTCAATGGCCTCTTTATCTGGAGGTGGTATTACGAAGCAAACGCCCGGAACTTGTGCCTCAATTCCCTTTTCATTGTGTACTCTCCACTTGATACGTCCGGAGTTATCGGTCAATGTACATTCTTTGTTTTTCTCTATGACAAACTGGAACAACAAGCACTATTACAATGTGTTTTACAAACAGATCATAAACCTTACGTTATTTTGCTTGTAATTGCATATAGTGGTAATGCTCAATGGCCTGGTGACCGGTTGTCGGCGTTGTTTAAGCGGTACTATGTCTTGAGATCTGACGATTAATTCTTGTACGCGGTCCCCAAAGTTGTTCAATTCATCTCGTAACGCTTGCATTCCTTGCAGCAATCTTTCTCCAACATCCAACGAGAAATCAGACTGGCTGAATTCGGTATTCATGACCTCATCTTTCCTAAAAAGACAGTTGGAGATGGACAAAAGTAATAATACGACTTACTCTTTAAGCCACTGTTCGGTTTCCTCAATGTCCTGATAAAATGTTTGGTAATTTTGTGCGTGTCTGAGATGTTCTTCGAGACAGTGAGTTAGCTGCAAAAGCCACGCCCATTGCGCCTGCATGGCCGCCATATGCGCCTCTATAGCTTTAGACGCCGGGTGATTTTGCAATACTAAGGCTTCCCCTCGGTCTTGTACGGCTCCGAACTGGATTTCTCGTTTCTCCAAGTCGCTCATTAGGTTCTGAAATAGAAATTATCAATCACGGTTGAGTTTAGACACTAACATAAGTATAGAGTTACGAAGCAATAGGAAACATGTGCGGTAGTCAGAGTTTGAAAGGTGCGTACAATTATTTTAGTTACCTCGTAACCTGATCCGAAGCTTTGCTGCATAAAAAATACACCAATCAATAGTGTTTGGAAATTATAATTTTGTGCAGAACTATGCTAAATTGAGTCACTGATAGAATGTTGCCAACCAAACAAATTCCCTATTTATCTCCATTCTGTTTTAACTTGAAATCAAATGTGCAACTGTATTGACAAAACTCAATAATTTGTGCAAGAGAAAGCCTAGCAACAAGTATAAAAATTCTTCACATTGCCAGTAGGGAAAAGTATAAGTGTTGTTGTGTGAAAGATTAGCCAAATTGGTTCCTTCCGAAAACAGCAAGACTGACTTGTACTAACCGGAAGCAATGGAAGCAAATAGACTACGCCCTAAAATAAAAAGAACGGTTGTAACTACAAACAAAGATGCATCCCAAACAGAGACTCTAAAACAAGAAAACATCATTGCTTTTTCAAGAAGCGCAAAAAGATTTTCAAAATAAACAAACATACCTATGACATTCTTTCTAAAACCCTAAACGCTTTTTGATTCCTATCCTAAAATGATAACTAGTTCTTACCAGAAACAAAGAGTTTAAAAAAATCAAGGGTGACTGAATTTTTCAAAAAACGTGTTTTGTATACCAGTAAAGTGCTCTTTGAGGACAAGATAAACACAAATGTTATTATGAAAAGTCGTTCAAAATGAAAAACTGAGTAAACATGCAAAATTTCAAAGTCCTAAGCCTACTTTAATTTTTCTGGTGTTTTTATATTTTAACTGGATATGTTACTTAAAAAATGATTCAAAATAGAATGTATTGACCGTGTAACAAATTTCGATATTGTGGCGTACATACTAGACATCTTGATAGACAAGGAGGCGCCATGAAAGGATTAGTCATCTGTGATAAAGAACAAAAGCAGATGTGATGTAATCTTTCCGAGAAATATTACGCGTTTGTTCAAGAAAATTCGTTCGAGATCGTGCTATATACGCACAACGGAATGCGTTTCAGGCAGTTCCAATTACGACGCCGAAGTCATAAATAGTTCGCGCTGTTATAAATTGTGTATTTGTGAGTGATAAATAATATTTTTACTGTTACAAATTAATCAATTTCACGACTGTTATGATTATAAATTTATTGTTTATAATTAGCTGTAATAAAATTTATGTTACAATATTTTATTTAAAATATTTAATGTAGGTAATGATTTCAATATCAACTTGCTCAAATTTGCTACGCGGTCAATAGTTTTTTTAAGTAACATGTTTTTGGATTCTGAAAAAATTCAGTTTGCGCCGAGGTTTGCGCGTTCTAGTCCCCAAAGAACACTTTACTGGTGTGCATAAAACGTTTTTTGAAAATTTCAGAGACACCCTTGATTTTGGGAAACTAAAATGATGTCACAAATTCATTTCCAACCAAGCAGAGCTGATCTTCGGAAGCTCAAAATTCAGTTCCAAAATTTTGTCTTTTACAAGCGATGACCAAACAATCGGGGGACACACTGTAGACACATTGTATATGGATTTGTTTGATTTAGTTTAACGTTTAGATAACTGAACCAATTATAATCAATTAATCAATTTTTTTCTCGATAAATAAAGTATTGAAACAAATTATTTCGTGTAATTACAAAAAGTAATTAAATTGGGGTAAATATGGTAAATCCATTATGTAGTTCCACAAAAGTAATAATTCAATCAAATTTGTCAAATCAGTTGCAGGGCGCAGCCACTCTACACTTTGCGCAATTACTATTTAAAGCACTCACCTCATAATATTTTTCAATAGCTTGCAAGTTGATATTCTTATCGGACCAGTCTCTTGTAACCTCAATCTCTTCTTTCTCATTTAACCAATGCAACTCATTAGTGGCGGACTGTATAAAATCTAATAAACTATCCAGATCGCTCAGTCTATTATTAGAATAGGTCGATAATTCGGCGTAGACTTTCTGTAATTGACTCAGATGCTGGTTGTATAAGGTAAGTTCTTCAGATGAAAAATATTGACGGGCTTTAACACAGGTATCCACTTTGGAATGAAATTGATCGACATGTTTGTGTTCGCGCTGATGTAGTTCACGTTCAGCTTGGACGGAAGGTAAATCAGTTCCATAATCGGCTTCTTGAAATTGTTTCTAAAATAGTCAGCTATAGGAATACAGATTAAAAATTCGTGGGAAACTTACCAGTTTATTTTTACACCATTCGATGGCTTCTTGCACGGCACGGAAATGCGGATTAGTATCTACATTCCGAGTTTCCTGCACTGTTCTAATATGTTTCGTAACCGTCCGTTCTTCGACTGGAAAACTCAAGTTCGCCAGAGGCCCAACGATCTTATGATGTAACAATCGACGCAATTGCACCCACCTCTCGTGCAATTTCTTTACTCTCTTATCTAATTCTGGACCTTGCAAATATCGACTATTAAGAAGAGTATGTACATCAGTTATTAACGACTGTATATTTTGCTCCGTAACTGCCAAATCTGATTCAATCTGGTCAGCTATTTTCTTAGCGTCTAAGGGATGTAATCGTTCTATTCTCCTCGCTTCGTCTTCAATTCGTCGCTCAATCGTGTCTAAATTCGAATCTGTCTGTTTGATTTCCCTATGTACTTTTTCCGCTAGCCGTTGTAACCTCTCCAATCGTTTAAGTTCCTCTAAAATTTGCCTATCCCTTTCCTGGTATGCCGTCATAAAACGACTCCAAGTTTTCTCGATCGAGTCGATGTGCAATTCGGGTTCGATGTCTACTTCTCCGACACTTTTAAAATATTTTTCTAAGTCGCGGAATAACTGATTTAAATACTGTTTATCTCTTTGACGAGGTGGAATTTCGTCGGTTCTAAATCGCGACGATTCTGAGGCCAATTTCTTCATTTCGATTAAGGTCGGTGGGAATGAGCGATCCTACACAAATAGTTTTCAAAGTAATTATGAGAAATGCAATTGATTTCAAGTGTGTTTTGTATCCTACCTGTTTGTAAAGTGGCCTCTGTGTATTGTAATTATAACAAAGTGCAATTAAGTATTAAGTGGATTAAAAAATGAGTAGTAGATCAGACATACCTGCATTAAACTGTATTTTTCCCTAATCCACATATGTACTGATGAAGCCAATTCGCGATATTCTTGTATTCGCTGTTGTGCTGCTTGATCGTAAAGCGGATGGATTGATGGAGGTTCTGGGAATACTTCGTGTAATGATGAAATGTACGTAATTAACGATTTCTCATCCGGTTCATGGGTATCCACATCTAAAAAAAAGAACACATTATCAATAATACAGCGACTTGCAATACTTTTTGAAATGTATCCCACATGATGAAGACGCTTCTATTATACAATTGAAACCTACAGTCTCATCTGGATTATTTATCCCGAAAAAGCAAAAAAACTAGTGTTTTTTAAATTTTAAATTTTTTAAATTTTAAATTTTAAATTTTTTTTTAACACCCTGTGTATTTTAACGCCAATTTTTTGGATTCTTTTTCCTGATTACATTGATGTATCACACCCTATATGTTCTTGTATAATTTTACATTGTGTCCAAGATATAGATGTCTATCATGGCAATATTGAAAACCATAGAATATACGACGATGGTTAAATCACGCCATATCTTCGGAAGTAATCGGAATTTTCTGGTTTTCTCATGATGATAACTGTTGAATTGTGTAACTTTTTCCTGATTTACCCATCGCCATACTTCTATGATTTCCGAAATCCTCAGGATACACATCCTTATGTTGGACATGGTGTACCTATATAATTATATAAAAAAATATAGGATGTGATACTTCAATGTAATCAGGAAAAAGAATACAAATAATTGCTTTAAAATATACGGGGTGTTGCATTTAATAAATATGTTGGGTCCAATCTCAGAACCGGTGGCCCAAACATTTTTTTGACTACGCCACTGGATTCTACGTAAAAATATCTAAAACCATACCTTTTTTCTATCTTACATGGGTAGTAAAATATGAGAACGTTTCAAAAAATTATACTTTTCGTTTTCACCCTATATCTCAGAAATAAGCTTAGTTAAGATTGATTCTGTTTCAGGCATTAAAAGTCGCAAAAAAAAGCCACAAGGTAGCGTAAAGTCCAGGTCTTTATTTTTTTGTCAACAGCTGAAATACACTCCAATATTAACCAAAATAGGACACACGGTACATCTTCTCAAGAGCGTACTAATGATTTTATGATTATTTGTATTTTTCCGTTTTATTGTATCATATAGTTTGTGTACTTTTTATGTTAATTTAAAAAATCCAGATTTTTATGATGCGGTCCGTTGCTTTATGTGGAAACCTTAAAATGGCGCTTGATGATAAATGAATTTGACATGCCTGATTTAATAGGTAATTAGTTTTAGTGATTATCATTAACTCGCCATAGCCATTTATCATTAAAAAAGTATTTTGAAAAACCCTCTTTCATCATAAAATACAAATATCGCACTCCATTTTTAAAAGAAAGTTCCAATACCATCTTGAATTTCATTTTGAAATCATTTTTGAGTACGATCTATCGTAATAAAAAACCGTAATATTAAGCTCTGTGTTTATTATGATCGAGATATTAATTTTTCTAAAATGTTTTTTTTTCAAATATATTTTGGCCCGTTTACCTTTTTATGATCGATAAAGTAATCGTTTCAATAAATGAGTTACAATTCCTTATAGACACAGTACGAATTAGAAACAAAGGTGAAAAAGAGTACACGAATGGCATTACCTTCAGGATCTAACAACCTTGTCACACCATATTCTCGTTCGGCAATATAAAAGGCGGTTTCCATTCGTTCTCTCGCATGCTGTACTTTAATATTTCGCCAGTCGACAAGATCGGGCCTGTTTCGATGGATGATTGCACTGAAGGCCAAACCGTCTCGCCATGAAGAGGTGAAATCGGTAACTCGAACACCAGGATATTTGTTTGTTGTCCTCTTAGCCCATCTGAGAAGATAATCTTTCGCCGATATATTTGGTTCTTGGCCCACCACAATATCCGATATCTACAATAAAATAAAGCATTAAATTTGATACAGTGAAATAGAGCCATACATCAATGTCATGCTTAAAAAATATGCATATGCAGGTTGTATTTTTCTTAGTAATTCTCAGACATTGTCTTTTTTAGGCCATACCTGTTGTGACATTAATTACCGACTAATTTTCATAATGCTATAATATGAAAATATGTGATCCAAATAATAAGCGAAAGAATAAACCTACTAAATTTTATGTAGGTTGGCCGAAACCAAATTACTGTAAGGTTCTGTTTCTGCCTAATTTCACCAGATAATTGAACTGCACGCTATTTACCCAACTTCAATTAGTGTAATTCCACAAACCAAAAAGAAACTAAAAATAGTAAATTTATGCAAGATCTCCGACGTTCCTTGAGACGGAATGTGAGGTTCTGAAATGCATCAAGTACAAAGGAGATTAATTAATTAAAAAGTTCTGGAGTACTTCCACTTGATAATTTAACGAGAAATAATGCAAATTTCTTTGGCACTTCCCGCAATCAATTTTCAAGTTGTCTGCACCGTAACGGTTTTCTTAGTTATCTTACGAGCTCAATCCACTTAATATTAAAATACCATTACGAAGCTTATTAACCATCTATACCATTTATGGTGCAAACCAAAGGCATCTGTGGCGTGACATAAGCACTAAACTATTTTTAAAAAAACTAAAACTAAGCTGACTTAATCAAATTCATTAGGCATGGTAAAACATGGTAAAATGTGTGGAATGATTCTTACGAAACTATTCTTGCGAATATGGCTTTGGGCGATGCAAATTGTATAAACAAAGAACGGAATGGAAACAAAAAGGAGCATCTCATAACAATAGAGCTATGAACGTAATTTCCACTTTCTCTCTTAAAATGGTTTATTTGTAATAAAACTTTCACTATTTGTTAACATGCCAATCTTCACTAGTCTAAGTGGCAACTTTTACAAAATTGAGCATCTGCAATCTAAAACGTTCAATGTTAATTTATTTTAATGTATTCGAATGTCGCCCGCTGTGCAACCTCAAAATTATATTGTACTGGATTTTTGAACAGTTTTTTCGTGTTACACATTTTTGTAGCATATAATGATGTTCTTATTTGCATTGGCAAGTTTGCGTGTTCCAAAGAAAAATTCCACCTGTTTCGAGGCACAAGGTTCTCGTCTGATTAAATGGGTAATAGTTGAAGAAAGAGACATTGCAATTCATGAGAATGCATATAAAAACGATTTCACATAAGGTGCCAGATAGTGAATTTGAAGTCGCGTAAGAGGCTTTATAAAATAGATCGGAGAATGGGCAGACGAACAGAAAAGATCATTTTAAAAACATAATTTTCGCCCTTAAATATCAAAGTACAAAGGTTTCACACCATGGATATTAGAGATGAGTCGTGCAATTTGAAATTACAATACAATGAATATTCGATTTGAATGTGTAAAGTATTACGAATTTATTTATTTACATGATTCATCGAAAAAGCTCGTTTTTAGGAAATATATTCACGTTTACAATCTCTTATGGTTCATAAAATCATAACATACGAACAGAAATTCGAAAATGAAAAATTACGGACCACCCACTGGGCCACTGCTCTGCATTAATATATATGTAGTAATATTTAAAAAATCGTAATATTGATTTAATTACGGGGGAAATATAACTTTTTTTATAAATAATCACCGGACTCTCTCCTGAACCACCCCCAAGGCTCTCGCGGACTACCGATTGATAAAGTCTAAATCAACGAGATAGGGCACTTATGGCTCAGAAATGTTGTTAAAAAAGACACTATAACTCAGTACAAATCGAGGTACAAATTCATAAGCAACCAAGCAAAAAGTTGAGAATTAGAAAACAAATCAGGGACATTTAAACAGTTCCAAAAATCAGAGAAAAAACTGGAAAATTCGGATAAATTAACTTGGCCGAGGCTGAATACCGGATGATCATTTGGTATCTATATATTAGTGATTTGTGTTTATTGTCCAGGTAAGTGTATTAACTAACACGAAATATGCACAACACATAAAGCAGAATTCTTTATTTTTCATTTTGTTTGTTACAGATGTTGCTACAGTAAGACATTTTGAGTAGAAAATGACTTGTAAGTAATTGTTATTTGAAGTGAAAATTTAATTGCGGAAATCGAAATGAAAAACTGACAGTGGCTAGTATCCCGCACATTTAGACTATCATCAAAAGCAGTAAAAACTATCCTGATAATAGAAGCTGGGCGTTTGTTTATACATCTAAAGTTCATGTCAAAAGAGCAGAAAGAGAGGCAGGATCCTTATGCGAATAGGCAACGCAGATGAGAATTACCTGCTTATGATTTTAAGAAACACTGCATCTTTTTTAGCGTATTTTCCAACTTTAAGTTTTTTAAATGGTAGTCATAGCTGGCATACTTTAATTAATAAACGCCCTGCAATAATTTTTGTATTATTGAGAGGTAAGTAAACAGAGTTGGCCAGGGAAAACAATATCTAGTGAGCTAGGTAATAGCGTAACTGTGGCACATTTAACATAAATATTTAATGGACATCTTCAAAAATTCACTATGAAAGTTAAATTAATAATCATATTCAATACCTATTAAAAGTAGATCGTATCATGCCATGGAAAACTATAAATAAACAAAATACTTCTGTTCATTGTTGAACCTCTAACGTCTAAAAAGCATTATGCAGGTCACTCTGTAATTGGGCGCGAGCCTGTTCAGGGCCCAGAACAAGGGAGGGATAATAAATAAATAAATAAACTTGAAGGCCCCAAAGAAAACTTGGATTTAATCTTTGGCGCGTAATTATTGGATTGCAAATGCTTAAACCTTTCATTTACGACGAAAATTGGACAGGCCAATGTTATCTTCACTTTCTACCAAATGAATTTCAAGATATGTTAGATGATGGGTTAGATTTGGAAACACGCAGTTAAATATTATAATAGACAGTAATTAAGAGAACAGAAATGTTTCCCATGGCAAAATCTGTTTTTACTACTCTTCATAATGCAAACAGTTATATCATTTTAAAAAAGAAAAAAATGCACTTTTTTTAAATGTCACAGCCAACATTTAACCGAATCTCTATGTCTTGCGGTTTCCGAGATCCTAATGCTTAAAATGAAAAAAAACTCACCCTGTATTTGCAATAGATGCAATAAAGGCGAGATTAAACCCTTTGATAGGGATCCTGACACACAGGTTTAAAGGATGTCTGACATACATGTCAAAATCCACGCTATATATTTCAAGAATGCCCTTACAAAAATTCTTCGAAATATTGTTTTTCCCTTTGAAGGTACTTTCGTCCAACATTTTAAGTTTTTACATTGCCAGTAGATGTATCTCGTCCAGACGTTCCATTTGCTCTTTACAAGTACCCTCTTTCGGCACTTGTCTTCAAGATATTCGCTTCGATTTCACCAATCGATAAGTCTCGCCCAGACGATTCATTATGCTTTCTGAGTACACTCCTGCCACAAACCGTTTTCGAGAGATTCGCTTTTTAAAGTTCGCCATCTGTGAGTACCTCCTCCGACGATCCGCTCTTGAGATAGAAGGAATTATAACCGATATAACACGATACGGGGTCGAGGAGAAGGGGTATGTTTGGTACAAATTAATTCCTTTTATCGAGACGTTTTATTAGAGTGCCATGAAGAATAAAGCCAGTGTCTCGCACTCCCTCTCAATTTTGATATGGTATAAGGATAAGAGTGAAGCCCGGTAGTTGGTAGAAAACAGTTCCTTTCGTTGAGACCTTTAATATTAGAAGACCATGAACGATAAAACCAATTTCTGCTTCTACGTCCTTGCATTAAAATGCCATGCTAGCAATTTAATTGTATGAATGTTCGTATTGTTCGTAATAAAAGGGTAGAGGCGTACCCTTTCCTTAGGAATGTTATGTATATGATTTACGTATGAGATTACGAGAGGTATTAGTACTAATTACGGAAGGTACCTTTTTGTCTTTAAGTGTTAGGGTATGTTGATTACTAATTAGACTTAGGGGTACATTGGGATTCGTGCAAGCCGGCCGATCAGTGTAACTACTCCATGCCAGAATTCTCGTTCGTTGTGAGGGTGGGTTTTTGCTCGAGAGGACACGTGATCTTGCACCTAGATATACAGTATATCTACATGGAGAAGAGCCATGGCACTTTATTGCGCATGAGGGTTACGTATAACAGGAGTCGGCGGGACAGGTACGCGTCAACTCGCCACTGGACCACTCGCCACCGACTGACTCGCCAACGGGACAACTCGCTAACGCGACAACTCACCAACGGGGCAACTCGTCAACGCGGCAACTCGCCAACGGGACAACTCACCACCGCGACAACTCGCCAATGCGACAACTCGCCAACGGACGACTCGCCACTGCGACATTTCGCCAACGAAATATTTTTCCCTGTTTAATGTGTCGTTCAAATAACGATGTGATTGTCAAAGTCAAAGTTCAAATAATAATTTGCAGAAGACATCGTTATATCAAAATGCAGTAATAGAAACAGGTATAGGCGGTTGGGTCTTCATTCAAATATTGACTACAATTTTTCGATAAACTTTGTTTACAAAATTAGGGAAATTGACTAAGTATTGCATTTGTGGGATGCATTTGTATGACACATTAAACAGGGAAAAATATTTCGTTGGCGAGTTGTCGCAGTGGCGAGTCGTCCGTTGGCGAGTTGTCGCATTGGCGAGTTGTCCCGTTGGCGAGTTGTCGCGTTGGCGAGTTGTCCCGTTGGCGAGTTGTCGCGTTGGCGAGTTGTCCCGTTGGCGAGTCAGTCGGTGGCGAGTGGTTCGGTGGCGAGTCGCCCTTGGCGAGTTGACCGTGTTCCGGCGGGACCGGGTGTCGTAAGACCCCTTTCATGTGTGTTACGTTTAGCGTAAGTGCTGCCGGGACAAAGAGGATCCGGCATAGCCAGCTGGCGTGATAAAGACCCTTGCAGAGCCTCGTTTAGTAGAGTAAGGATA